ACGGTTTACTTTTATTTCCATTTTTCAATGACATCTTTAAAGATTTTTCTGAATTTAAGCATAACTGTTACTGAATGGGAATATATTATTTACTGCACTTCTGTCACACTGCCATTTGAGTTCCAACTATGCTAACAATATTCTGCCAGGTCCTTGAACTTGGTCTTACTTCTTGGTTGGTCTTAGCAGGCAAAACTTACATGCACAAATAAAAAAACTGAAGTGCAGCCTCAAGATTTTAAGTGCAGCAAGAAGAAACCAGGTTATTCATAGTCACTAAATAAAAAAGCATAACATAAGAACTGTCTATCAGTTGGACTAGTTCATGACTATCCTCACTTTCTTGTTACAGCACCATATGATCTGAATGAGAAAACATTAATTCCAGCAAATTTTGTACAATACCTAATCTGTCCTCATTCAGATTAATACAAATTCATTGATTTTCATAGAATTACACCTGTTTATATCAGGGCTCCGTCTAGCTGTACAAATCTCAAACTCAGACAAGTGGTAAAACAGTAATATATCTCCTGTGTGGAAGGTGTATATATTATTCAGCTTCATCCCTGTACTGAATCCAATACTGCAGCAGAACACAAATCAGAAAGCAAGCTCACTACTAACTAATGCTACCTGTGCTGAACATCAGAAACTGGTCTTAAGACAGGCAGGGCAGAAAATTATGATAATGATTATTAATTCTCTTTTGAGCAGCATGACAGAAAATATTTCCCTTTTCTATTCTACTTTTTTTGTTAGTACTTTGGCACAGGCCATTTGGCTTTTGGGAGCCACAATCAAAACCTATCCTGTACACATGTTCCAGTAATGGCTGCAGCACTGGAAGAAAGTACAGAAGTCTAAAAATCAACCAGGTGATTTAGCAGCTGCTGTGTCCACTGTGACTTCCCATCCAAGAGATGATTTTATGAAGGATTCTGAAAGAAGGGTCCAAGTAAAACACGGACTGATTTGCAAACAGATACATTTATCACAGCAGATTACATGAAGATTGGGGCCAGAACAGAGTACATACGCCCAGATCCTTGTGATCTATCCTGCCATGTGTTTTCCCTTCTCAGCCAATGGAATATATTTAAGTAAATACTAACACAACAGCAATAAACCTTCCTTCTTTTGTTCTGTATAATCTTCTATGAGCTCAGCTTCTTTCTAAAGAACAACACTTGAGGTTCAGGCTCTGTTTATATATCTCTGTGTAGTATATATCACAGTTTAGTAGACTTGCCCATACAGTAATTTAACAGACATAATTAAATAGATCACTTTGGCAGTGATAGCAGCCAGCACCGTTAATATTGAGCCAAACATGATTTAGGATCAAAATCTCGTAAGACAGATGCTTTCTCAGACAAGCAAGGAAATTTTATCACTCAGAAATGTGTATGTTTCTAGGTTGCTCCCATACCTAAAGTAATACAGAGCACATTCAGACACTGGGTTGGAAATATATTATTACGGTGAATAAAAGATCATTTTCACCTGTCATTTTCCCTTTCATTAATTTAAGTTTCTTGTTAAAAATAATTTTTAAAAAAAGTTACCCAACCATTGAAACAAACAAATCCATAAGACTGCAATTTTCTATTAATCGTACAAGTTTGAGACAAACATTCTATACATATTTTAAAACAGGGTAGCAGTCTACATTTATTCAAATGAGTTGGTAAATTGACCATAGCACAGGACAAGGTTTTCTTTTTAAGGGAGTCTCTACATGTAAGTAGTTTACCCTCCAATCCCAGGAGCATGTGTGAGGCTCAGGTGACTGGACCTGCTGTCAGGCATACAGGAACTTTAATCAGGCTTAACACTCAAAAGAACAGGGGTCTTTGCATTTGCTGCTCAACACTTGTCTTAATTACAGGTGAAGGACCTAACAAGTGCAAGCCCACAGGAAACAAGGACAGAAAATATCTGAGGGAGGTTGGGAAGGACAAGAGAATGAAATGCATAGCTCTGAATTTTAATAAGCCAGAATCTCAAAATTAGTATTAATGAAGAAATTTTTGAGTACAACTGGGGAGACTAAGCATATAAGGCAGTAACAGAATCCAAAAGCAGACTGGGTATGTCCTGTTACTAGCCAGATGCACATTAGTACACAGTATACCAAACATTCATTCATATCCGGGCTGGAAAATGTTTCTTTCTGGGCTCAGATAAGATAAGTAAAAACATTTTACATTGTATGTAAATGCAAGTTAAAGGGTACACTAAAATGTAACCTTTAAACTTCGCAATGTAACAGCACACCACTTCCTGTTCAGAGATAGCACTTCAAGATCAATTAATCATGGCTAGGACGAACAAATGGTCAACATTCTTAATTAGTGTTGATGCATTCTCCTCTGTGCCCTCATCTGTCATGAAGACTGTTTAAAAATCTGAGTTATTAGTCTTTATTGAGGAGTGGATCTGGTTAATATCTCTAAGAATAGAAATCATTCATCCATCCACTATACAGTGGTACCTGATAATTCCTACCCCCTATATAAGCTACAGATAACCACCGCCCTAAGACCATCTTGGTAGCTATAAATCAAAATGAGTGTAGCTCCCATGCAACCTGGGTTAATTTTTGTTTACAATACATCCACTGAAAATGTTGGTATGACACTTGAGGAGACTGCTTATAGATTATTATGGAGGAAAATATATAAAGTAGTCAAGGTAGAAAGGAATGAAACACATCATTCACACAAAACACAGTAAACCTCTGTAATTCACACTAATGACTAGAAGATCCATTGAGATTACTGAACTTTGTCAATACCAAATTTAAGCAAAGATCCTAAGTGCACAAAACACAATTCATTCACTTGGCAACTATAGTTTCATTTATACTATACAATATCAGTCAAAGTATTTGACAGCAACATTTCTATAAAAGTTTTAAGTTACTGCATCGAAACTCAAAACCATTTGTTAATCTTAACAACAAGGCTTACTCTCCTATTTCTGGTGCAAATGAAGTGGTATTAGCAACACAGAAATAAGCACACTTCAGATATGCTTTGTATTAAATAAGATTAAAATACCGCAAAGTTAGTTACAAGGGAAGTTAAATTTAAGATTCAACACCAGCTGTAGATTTTAGGTTTATTAAGATCTTATGACTTACAATTATTATGAAAAAGAAAAATTCTACATTAAATTTTACAATTCCATTTGTTGGTTACCAAACGCACAGACAAAAATCTATGGAAAAGACAGAGAATTAACTGATAATCGGACATAAGTGCAAGTAGCCGGTCTGGGCAAGATCTTGACTCAAATCAGTTTTCTACTCTTTCTGAACAAACGTATAGGTCAGGCTATGGAATAAAAGAATGTATGGGAAGGAAGAAAGAAGGAAAAATAAAACTAAGCACCCAGGAGGAAGACAGTCACCTTAAATAAAGTACTGCTTTCATAAAGGAGGACTACATGTCTGAGGCTCTTGTTCTCCCAATTATTTTTAGTAATCAGTGGGCAATGACAGTCCTTCATTTTAGCTAGTCCTGAAGAAAAAAAATGAAAAAAAGAGGGGAAAAAAAAAAAGAAAATTAAAAAAGAGGGGTGGGACAGTCCAGAATTTAGGAGATCTCAATTCATACTACTCCATTATTTTCAGATAAATTTCTGATGGATGAGAGACTGGAGACTGGAGCTTTGTATGTAGAAATTACCTTTCCAATGTTTCATGAGTAATCTTCTTAAGATTTGCGGAACTCCAGCTAGGAAGTCAAGTTTTGGAGCAAAATAGAAATCAGTGAAAAATATTTTTCATTTGAATGTCAACCGAATCTGTATTATTGACTCTGGTCTGCTAGAGTACAACACTGTCTATGTTATACTTTCAGAAGAGCTATTTATATATTGTAACTCTAAGAGCTTCTCTGTTTTCTTCCCAGAAAATAAGCAGTCTTTCATAATTAATATCATAAAATGTTACAGCATCACAGTAGCAAGATTACAGTTAATGGTTCTGAATGAAAGTGTTGTATCTACATTGTTTTCAAATGCTTCTAAACAATACTAACTTGCTGGATGAGGTCTTTGTTTCAAGTTTGTTCATGATATGGACATTGTGACATGGACTCTAATTACTTGGACAGTAAAAAAAAATCAAATCCATTTTTTGTTGTTCAAATAAATATATTTACATTGTTAAAAAATTATGTATCTGCTTCTACCACTTTGTTTCTAAAATTGCTTTATGTTGTTTTTATCATCTTCAATAGCAAAAGGGTAAGAGAGCCAGGATCAAGACCTCAGATATGCTAATAAGGATACTTCTGTAAGATTTCTTAGCTGGACATGGGGGAATTTGGAATCCATCTAATTAGGAAACTAACTAGGTGATGGTTATTTCAAGTGGCGTATTTTCGTGGTCAGAAGAAAACCGCTATATCATACTGACATGATCAAAAAGAGGACAGGTTAAGAAAATCCCAGAACAACAGGAAATTAGTAACCTCATGGGCAAAACTACAGACAGCAAGCAAAAAAAGCCTAACAAGCAACTCATAAATATTATGCCTACTGCGTAGTATAGTTATTTTAAATAATATATACCAGTACTTAATTTAGCAGTCTCTTGCCATACAGAACCATGAAATATACCTGTTATTAGGTCCAGGAATGCTTCACAGTTCTCTGTTCTAGATGCATGCCATGGCTATATCCTGAAGCCCCATCAAATTCAAACATGGGTAAGATAGATCTCTCTACTCCTGTGTGCTGCTCTCCAAGTAAACAAAACCCAGGCAGAGAGGCTGCAGGCTAGGCAAAGCATGACGCAGCAAGTCCCGCAACCTAACTGCCCAGAACCAGAATCCTGAGGTACACCCAAATATGTCACCTGTACACAGCAACAACACACAAGACAGTATGTAGTTTCATTTTACTAAAGATAGATGCCCTGTGCCATTTCTTCAATAGAAAGCAACATCCAGAGTATTTCAATTAATATTTAAGTATGAATAACTTACTTTTATTTCCAACCAAGGCCACAAGTGGCTGTATTTCTGATTCTTCATTCACTTTTTTTACCACATTATACCAATCTTCTAAATTTTCAAAACTCTGGCCGTTGGTAATATCATAAACCAAGAGAATACCCTAAATAAAAAGATATATTTAAAATGTTACAGGTTGTAAAAATATTTTAAGATGGTAAAATTTTCATCAGTCTAAATTATTATTATCATAACATAGAGCATTAACAAATAATGGCATTGTATCTTCTGAGGAATAATTAAAGGAATGATAAGTTTCTGTAATAAACACATTTTATTACAGTATTTCTCCTGCATTCTGTGTGTTCCTACTTCAGATGCTAATTGAACTACAAGGGCAGGAAAAAAATGGCAATTCAGTAAAGAGCACAATTAGTTACCTTAGAAATACTCCAAACTGCATATGCTTTATGAAAAACCCAAAAAGCACTTCACACTAATATTAAGATAAAAATCACACTGAAGAAGGACTTTTTTGAAAAAAAATGAAAAATAAAATCAATTCAATCATACATTTCTGCACATTGCCTGACTGTCATGTGTCTGTTCTCCTTTGGGGAGAAAGGCCAGATCCCTTCCTTCACTGTCGTAGAAGACAAGCAAGAATTACTGGCAAGCTTTAAACTTTCAAAGAAGAAACTAAAGATGTGGTCAGAAGTCAAAAAGAAGGGAGTCCTATGTAGTTCAGAGGTTTTGGGCCAGGCTACAAGTAACAAATACTCAGAGCAGACATTACTGAGGACACCTCAGAGCTGATATCCGGTATTATAAAGCACAGCCTATTAATAGCCCAAATGTCTACTTTCTCCCCTCCATAACTCTAAGATCAGCTGTCACAAATTACTCTCCTCTCAATTATTGAGTCTTCTGCCCCTGCTTTCCACCACACCATAATAAAGTATCTTGTAAATGAGGAATAAAGTGAGAATTGGCTTCTGTTGCACTTGTTCTCATGGAGTTCACATCTGGAAAAAAAAAAATCCCTGCAACTGCACACTGTTCCTCACATGAAATTTTCACAATATTTAAAAAAAACCAAAACAATACAATGCATACAAAATTAGCTGGTTCAATGACCCACTGTCAATAGAAAAGATTTTTCAAGTCAAGTTTTTTTTAGGCATTTGTCTGGGCAGAGCTTTACTTGATAGTTTCATGAGGAGTGTCTTAGATCACAAAATAGAGTGCACACTTATTAAACTAATTTCACAGATGACAACAAACTGGCAGAGACTGCAAGATTATTTGAGGAGAGTTTAGATTATATGATGAGAAACAATCTAAAAATAATAGGATGCAATTCAATAAGTACCACGACAAGTTCAAAGGAAGCAATAATCAACTGCACAACAGGAAACATCTGGCTTTGTAGCAGGTTCTATACAATAGGATCAAGGAGTTTTAGTAGATCACAGTTGAGTATGTCAACTTTGTAGCAAAAAGGCAAATATTACACTGGCGTGAAACATTCAAGGTGAAATAATGCATCCAGCTTTGGATACTGAATGTCAAGAAAAGGGTAGACTAGAAAAGACCAGTAACAATATCAGAGGTTTAGAAACCATGACTGACATCAGAAAATTGAAAAAAATGGACTGTTTCAACATAAGACTGATGGCAGGCATGATGATGTTGGTAAAAGTTTCAAGAGAAGATAACAAGAGTTCTCTTTTTATATGCTCTTATAGTTTGCAGATAACAAATGCCTGAGGGCAGGGCTACCATTCAGAGGTATGTAGACATGCTGAAGGAACGGGTGAACAGGAACCTTTCAACATTCAACAAGGACAAATGCAAAACCCTGCAGCTGGGGAGGAATAAACAATACAGGCTGGGGGGACTGATTGGCTGGGGAGCAACTGAAAATGACCTGCAGATCTCGGTAGACAGCAAGCCAAATATGAGCCAGCAATGTTTCCCAGCAGCAAGGATGGCCAATGTGCTCCTGGACTGTATTAGCAGAAGCACAGCCACTAGACCAAGGGATCTATTCTGTTCTACTCAGCACTTGTTAGATGATATCTAAAGTAACACATCAGCCTTAGGCCACTCAAGACATCAATGAAGTGGAGTAAGTTCAGCAGAGGGCCACCAAGATGATCAGAGTCTGGAGCACTTGTCCAATGAGGAAAAGAGGAGGGAACCAGAATTCTTCAGCATGGAGAGGAGGTGGCCCTGGGAGGACCAAAAAGCAGCATTCCCATACCCATGAGGAAGCTATGAAGGAGGGGGAGCCAAGGCTCTTCACAGTAGTCTATGGCAGGAGGATGAAACACAATGGGCATAAGTTGAAACAAGAGAAATTCAAACTAGATATAAGCAAAAGGCTTTTTCACCATGAAGAGAATCAAGCAGTGGAATACATTGCCCAAGAGGTTGCTCAGTCTCCATTCTTAGAGATTTATAAGAAGGAACTGGATAAAGCCTTGAGCAACCTAGTGCCATCTCACAGCAGACCCTACTTTGAGCAAGAGGTTTGACTAGAGACCTCCTGAGACCCCTTCCACCCTGAACTTTCTTACAATTCTGTGATCAATATGACATGTAGCAATAGGTTTAACTTATAGCAAAAAGATTATATCAAGCGTACATACTAGGAAAAAAAAAATGTAGACAATGAGAATAGCGAAGCTCTGAAACACACCACCTTCAGGGATAGCAGTCACAAACACTGGAGGGTTTTTGAAGGTTGATAAAAATGAAATAGACATTATACAGGTATAGCTTCAGAGGAGGGCAACAGATCCTACTGAGATCCCTTCAATTCCTATTTGCCTATAAGAGCAATACAAATCTCTTACCCTTCAATCCCATCAACTCCTTGGCAAAGTGAGTTCTTGTTCCTTGTATTTACATGGCTGCTATTAATTTCTGAGGAACAGCTTTCACCAGTTCCTTCAAGGAAATTAAAAATTATGACACCCGTCTTTTCCCTTGCTAACTCTCCTCCTTTACTTCATTAATCAAATATAATATTAAACATCCACTTTCCTCTTCCAACCTTTGTACAATTTATTCCTTAGTATCTCACATCTTAGTTAACTTCTCCTGACTATAACTACCCAAATGCCTGTGCATGTATATATTTGTCTTTCATAATACAAGCCTTGCTCTAGGAAGGACATTCTGATGTTACCAAATGCTCAGTGGAAAAGAAGAAACACAAGCTGAAGGACAGATATTGTAAAGGTTAAAAAAAACAGACATAAGGCTGAAAGTTGTAAATGAGAAAGAGCACATGGCATGCTTCTTTCACCAGTGGTCAAGTTCTCTCACTAGCTTGCAGAAGAGCAGACCAGACTATCTAAACCATCTTCAGCACTGAAGAGTTTAATCAGACTTAGATGTAAGATAAAGTTAATAGAATCTTAGCATTTAAGGTTGGCCAACTGTTTCTGACTAATTCTTCATTAAGATGCTACTCTGCTACATGTCCTCTAGCCAACTGCAGCCTACCTACACCTGTGGAAGAAAGGGTATTCACAGTGGATTTACCGTGAAAGAAAGAATTGTACAAAGTTTGCAACTAGAGCTCACCTAACTTCCTTTTGGTCCCCTTCTCCATGATCTAAAACATTGCATCTAAAGCATATTTTTTTCTTAATCATTCTTTTTTTGAATCTTGTCAATATTTGCTATACTTAAGAAACAAAGATGACAGGTATGACATCTTAGAGATGCAAAAAAAGGCAGCATGGCATCCAGGTCATAAAGAGTATTTCTTGCTTAGATTTTTGCCACAACAGTACTCTATAAGCAACTTAGTATGATATAGATAATTAATGAAGGACTAGTCATAACTCCATAGCTAAAATTTATTTCACCTTTTTTTATTTAACATAGAAACCCCATCATTGCTTTCACACAAATACATCATATTTTCCACAAACTTACAGTATATGGAGAACAGAGCGAGTAGATAGTATAAAAGCTGTTGTTTCCCTATTATGCATGAGGATTTAAGGTGGAAAATTAACATTGGCCTTTTTACACAAAAGTAGCACATTTCCCTGCCATGAAAAAAGTTTGAAACACATGGCAGACAACATGCCAAGAACAGCATGTTAATTCTCTAGTCTCCAGCAACGTGGCAAATAGTCCCTCCTTGCATAATTGCACTCTAGTAGGACATTTTGCCTACATTAGTGCATGTGTGAGTGCTTTTTGTTTTGGAATTATGGAGTATTTTCAAAAATAGGTCACTGGAAACTGAGAATATTGCAGAAATTATTTGCTGGTCTCTGGAGAAGGTAGAGTCTGCAGTACTCTTATTCTATTAACAAGCCAATTTATGAGGTAGCACATGCCAGTTCTTAAAGATACTTTAAACTAGATATGTGGGTAGGGGCAGCAATTATAGGTAAGAGATGGGAGCAGGGTTCCGAAATATTTACCACGCAAACAGCAGCAGTGCTATTACACAGCAGAACTGCTATTATGGAAGTGTTGTAACCAGGCAATATATTCACACTACACAATCAACATTTTAAAGGTGTCAAGTTTATGCCAAGATTTGTCACAATAAATGAAAGCTACAGAAAACACTAATTAAAACCGTATGTTTTCTTCCTCAGGTTTATCCTCAGCTGCCCTCATCCTATGACTGACTTTAGTATGAAGAAACAAAATTAACTTTCTAATTTTCATTAATATTCATGAAATATGTCAGACCAAAATTCTAAAATATTTTTTCTAGTCACAGTATATCCATTTTAGCAAAGACTAACTTCATTATGATATCTTGCACATCTGCAGAAATGCTATTTTTACAACTGAAAACAGTTTACAGTCTACATATACTTCACCACTGTTGTCTTTGCTGATACTGAGGATACAGTAACTCAAACACATGCGACTGATTTGCCATAATTGAATGACCTACTGTCTATCAGTTCAGCTGTGGTAACTGACTATACAATTATTCTTAGCCTCTCTCAATTCTCAGATAAACGTGTCAGTTTTAACCAACACTGACAGAAAGCTGCTTATTAGCACCTTTTATTTATAAATATAAAGATCAAAGAGCTCTTCTTCCCCCGCAGCTTGCAGAGTTCTTCTGACCCATCAGTGAAATTCAGCTAATGGGATGCAGCAACTATATTGTTCTAGATGAGCGACACCAGAGAAAAAAAAGGGGAAAAAGAAAACTGCTTCAAGACAGCAAGTGAATTGCAATTTCTCCAACTGCCACCACACAAGCAAATTAAGTAGGTTCTCATCCTCAAATCTAGCACTCTTATTTTAAAACATGGCACAAGAAATCAGGGGTCTCAGTTAAAAAATGGCACCTTGAGAGTAACTTAATGAAAAGATCTATCCTAGAGAATTGATTCAGCTCTCAAAGAGAAGGAAACCTCCAGTGGCAAGGTTTGCAGCAAAGTACAGGGGGATGCTCCACTTACTCCTCCTGGTATCCTGATCAAATTCAAGCAACATCAAGTGAACTGCAGACTGTAGATAACCTGTTCAGTTGCTGTAAATTCTCAAAATTTCCATCTCCAGCTGGTTGTAGTATTTTATAAGTAAGCCTACCATACATTTGGATTTCTGAGTGGGAAACCAAGAGTTCAGCCACTTGTGATTTCTGAATATCATGCTTATCAACCAGATGAAGTCTATACAAGGCTATGGTCATCTGCATATACTGGATAAAAGCATGATGCATACTCTATGCATGGTGCAAGCTATTCTACACATTATACTTTAAATCTGAATTATTTAGATTTGGAGAATACATGCAGATTAAAATTTCAGCAACAGATCCAAATCATCTACTCTATGTGTGTGTGTACAGCTTGTGTACTTTACAAAAAAGATGTTTAAAATCCCAGTTGCACCACATGCACTGACCAAGCGCAACACACCATAGGTACACATACTTCTTTTGCAGCAACCTTTGCTAGAGTTACTCCACTATTTTAAAGGTTTTCTTGTACTGGGGAACCCAAAACTGAACACAGTACTCCAAATGTAGCCTCAAAAATGTCAGACAGGATGGTAATCTCTTTCCTTGATTTGCCTACTTCATTCTTACTAATGCAGCCCAGTATTCAGTTAGCTTTTACTGTTGCAAGGGTGCATTGCTGACTCCCATTCAACTGTTTTTTCTCCAGTAGGACCCCAGCCTTCTTTCCTCCAAAGCCATTTCACAGAATGACTGAGGTTGGAAGGGACCTCTAGAGGTCATTTTGTCCAAGGCCCCTGTTCAAGCAGTGTCACCTAAAGCCAGCTGCCCAGGACCATGTCCAGATGGCTTTTGAATATCTCTGAGGATGGAGACTCTGCAACCTCCCTGGGCAAGCTATGCCAGTTCTTGGTCACGCTCACAGTGAAAAAGTGTTTCCTGATGTTCAGAGGGAACCTCCTGTGTCTCAGTTTGTGCCCATTGCCTCTTGTCCTGTCTCTGGGCACCACTGAAAAAAGCCTGGCTCCATCTTCTTTGCAACCTCCCTCCAGGTATTTATATACATTGATAAGATCCCCCTGAACCTTCTCTTCTCCAGGTTGAACAGTGCCAGCTCTCTCAGCCTTTCCTCATATAGGAGAGATGATCCAGTCCATTAATCAGCTTCATGGCCCTTCACTGGATGCTCTCCAGCTGATTCCTCTCCAGTTGATTCCCAGCCTGCATAAGGTTATTAGGTCCCAGGGAGGATTAAAGGAGAAGAGATTGGATATAGAGGTTTTTGTTAATGTGCTCAGAATGACTAAAAATCAAAATTTCGTAACTTTAGGCTTACTGATAGCAACCTTTTCGCTACTTCAGGGCACTGGTACTAACTTTTTTACCTGCTGTTGCTGATAAGAAACTCTTAAGTTTATCACCAAATTCAATACAGAAAAAGTTAATAGCCTTTTCTTTCCTTCATTGAGTTTACTTTGGGCATATGGCAACAATTTGTGATTAATCAAATTCCCTCTGTCATGGAAGCCGCTTTCTCCTGTTGCTTGGTAGATCTTTAACAGGGCAGCAAAATGTTTTTTATTAAAAAGTAAGAAAATGCTATAAAACAGATGCAACAGCTAAAAACATTTCGACATTATTTTAAAAGTGACAAAATGTTAAATTGACAAGTTTGTCTTTATCCTATTAACTAATTAATCCTAATCTCCTTAAATAGCCATCCCTTCTTAGTACAAAGTTTCTGTCCAATAAAGTTTTAGGATTCCATATTCCTATTGCTTAAAGTATTAGGGGAAAAAATAGGTGCATTTCTTTTCTTTTCAGATAATATTAACATTATATAATAAAGCGTGTTATGTGTATTGTTCCCATTACAAACTCCAAATGAAAGAACAGAGTACATTTTAGGACCACTCATGTTAAGAAGTTTGTCATGTAGTCCTAAATCATATCATAACTCAAGATATTGTTATAATATTTAGCTCTTACTTAATCCTACCATTCACTTTAAGTTGTTTAGTTAATCTCAAGGTAAAATTAATTTTCATTGGATAGGAGTTCTGCAAAAATATTTAGCTACCTGGTTGCCTCCTTTTGTTTGCCCTCTTATAACCCCAGTTGCATGTATGAGTTTAATGGTGTAGGATTGCTCTTAATTTCCTCCTTCTACTTTTTCCCCCCAGGAGGCATCTGTTCTAAAAGCAGCCACTATATCTAACATGTGGATATCCAAATAGCCTTTACTATTTACTATGATTGCTTTTCTTAACTCAAGACACAAAGCATGGAAACATACATCTGTTCTTGAGAATTATTCAGATCTACAAACGTGCACCTTTGCTTTGCTTTTTAAGCAGCTCTAAAAAATTAACTACATATCAAAATCAGAATTGAATAATAATACCAATTACATTTAGGTTAAGCAGAGATTCAACATTTTTGAGATCTACAAAACAACAACCTCTAAGATATGTATAATTTTAAGAACAAAGTTTCAATGAATTTTATATAATTACTATAGATACAATTATCATTTATACTGTACCTGAGCTCCATAAATATATTTATCCAGCATTTTGCCTCCTATCGTTTGCCCCCCTACATCCCACACTTGAAGAGTAACGTTCAAATTTCCTGAAAAAGAAAATGATACAGATATTGTGTAACCTGGAAAATTTAGATACAAATAGAATTAAAGATACATTATCACAGCAGGTAATACTGTTCTAGCATATCAACAGCAATAGCTTTTTATAAGTATACAATAAATAGTTACTAAATTTCAACATGAAGATGACTGTATCTTTTGGAAAAAAGTCACCTGTGTCCAGGTAAGTCATTAAGATGCAGTAAAACTATAGCTAAATATTAACATATTTAATATTAACAGAAAAGAATTGGAATTGCATAAAGTATAACATTCCTGACTAGAAATTATATAACATACTTCACTGAAGAAACATGTAAAACTTCGCAGAGAAAGTTCTATAGAGCAGTACTTGGAATCAAAAGGGATACAATTAATGCCAGCTTAACCACATTATTTCATACTCTGTGAACCTTCCCCCCCTCCAAATTTTCTTTACAAATCTAGAAGCAAGGAAAATCTGCACAGTAAGTGTATTTTGGTAGTGATGCTCTTAGTACTACACAGTTAAGGAATTATATAATGGATAGATTAAAAAATGGAAAAACTGACACAGATCTAAGTTGAGGATGCAAACCATGATTATTTCCTCCACCCACCACTCCAAAGCAAGCAACTAAATTGGACATGATTTACATCATTTAATCTTCGAAAAATCTACATCAAGAATAGTTTTTTCCTTTCTACTCTAAACAGTCTCTAAGCTATGTTGAAACCGTTAACAGGTTTTCAAAAACAAAGTAACAAAAAAAAATCAGTGTAAATACAGAATATTTAATATCCTACAAATCAAACACATTCTGCAAGCTAACAACTCAGAAACCCACGGATTAAACATACACACACAGCAATGTATGTCACCACATGCATACACATACTGAAGTATAATGTGGCTCATTTTGCATGGCGAGAACTCTTCAAAACTGTACTGATTACCTGGAAGCACCAAACTCTAATGCAGTAAGGTGTGATGAAAATTTTTCTAATCTACATACAACTCACATGACTTACATGTTAATAACAATTCTATGTACTCACAAATAATCATAACTGCCTATTAATTTTATTCCTAGATTTAAAAAAAAAAAAAAAAGCAACAAATTCCACATCACAACAATCGAGTCTCAACACAATATTTTGGGCTGCTAAGAAACATACACTCTTGATTCAACTACTTTATGTTATTAACAACCTTATTTTACACAATGTGATCTATTCAGCCATCAATTTATAACTAACACACTCACATTAGTTATGCAAGTGAGTGTGCTCCATGGAAATATATCCCAGTGCTCAGTGAGTATAAACAGCAAATTAAAACTATATAGCTGAATATATGCTACTTTTGGTATTAAATATACCACATTATATTTTTATGATGCATCTTGCTTTAATCTGGTTAAAAGCACAGATTTCCTAAACTGCTACTTTGGTCTCAAATATATAAAGATGAATGTGAGACAATCTATTCAAAATACTTTCAAGCTACACTGAGTTTTATCTAATACAAAGATAAAGAATTTCTACACAGAGCTTAGTAAATACATCATAAACACTCCAGTTCAATAAAGGCAATCTTTCATAGAATAAAAAGCTTATTTGTTTTAACAGTGCATCTACTATGTTTTAATTAATTATTTCTAAAGCTTAGAACATAAGTGACTGCAAACAATGCAGGAAAGTCTTCCATAAAGCATCTGACGTGGATAAACTGGTCCATCCGCAGCCTGAAATGACTATGAGTCCTCAGTGTGTAAACAAACTAAACATGCTCAAAAGCTCACCATGCTGCAGTATACCACCTCTAACTTGATTGCATGTATTCTACTGGAAATTTACCATGTCATTATGCCAGCTATTTGGAAAAAAAGCTTTATAAATATTGTCATTTTCAAACTCAACAGTTTTCAGATGCCTAAATTTGTGTTCAAATGCTTTAAGAAGTTTCTAACTTCATTTTTCCTCCTAAGAGTAGTAATCATGCATAGCATACCAGGCTTAGTATTTGGATAACTGTATGAAATTATCTGAGAAACCTTAATGCAGGAAGATAGTTAAACTAAATAGTCTAACAGTGACTGTTCAACTTTAAAATCTACTGTTATGAATTATTTACTTTCCTTCACTAATAACAGAAAAAAGAAACTGGGGAAAAAAGATTGCAATGTTCATTTAAGGTGAAGTGGTTCTTAATTAAGACCTCACTAACTACTGAAATTCATGCTGATCATCTCCAGTGCAAAACGCTTCATCTTCCCTTTTTTCCAATCAGGTCCTGTAATATTTGCTTTGCGCTCAAACTGATTTTTGGGGGAGAAAGAAGGATGTTAGAATTATTCAGACAGAAGGAAAAACTCTGGACTATTTGCCTAGCAAATATTTAATTAACAACTATGATAGTAGCACATGAAGTTTTCTGCGGAGTTTGAAATCTATTTTTTCATAGATTTAAGAGGAACATACAAACTGGAGAATGACAACAAAACAAAAATAAACCATGCATAATAAGAGAGTTCTTAGAAACAAGCTTAACGTACCAATAAAAATAAGTGAAGAATCCCATAAAAATAATATGTAATACACTGATAAGAAACAAGAAAAAACTAGCACTTCTTTACTCTGTAGAAAATGCACACAACTGCGAAGTTAAAATAACTGAGGCAACACAGTGCAGGTACCTAGGCTGTTTCTGGTATGAACTGAAGCCACTGGGTTGATTCCACTAGTGATCCTGCAGAAGTACACTTGTTGCATTGGTTAACCTTACTTAAAGTGCTGCACAGTCAAGACGAAACTAAAAACATGAGTCTGCCCACCTTTTGCACTGACGACTTAGAAAAATGCTTTTAACAGAAGAATCCTGTTTACTGTACTGCACCCACAACCTTCCTAAAAGTATTCGACTATGGCTCTTAAGAATCTCTATCAGCAGACCCTCTGACCAACAGATACACTATTTAAGCAGTAAAATCTACACTGTGGCTGCATCCAGACTATACAAGATACTGCATCAATAAATACACTGAAATTGACTTGCATTTGAAAAAAAATATTTTGACCAAACTCCATGAAGAGAATTTGTCAATAGTTGAACACTAAAAGTGACATCGTTCAAAATTAATCAAAGGATTTACTATTTGTATTAAACCATATTGTTTTACCATGTAAAATATTTACTTTTTTCACTGCAAAACTGCATCAGTTACTAAAACAACTGGAGACAAACACAGCTTGTATTTTTAAAAAGACCAAAAAACAGAGAAACAGTACTTTATTTTAAAAGCTAAAATGCATTTCTAATGTGGCCTAATGTAAACTACTGTGCAATTCTAGAAATCAGCAATTTTAACTTCTGAAATCTTTGCTTACATTCAAAAAAGAAAAAAAAAAATCAAACACTGAACCATAGTTATTCATCAATTCTCCTGCTAAATAAGAGAAATCAAGGCTTTCTTCCCTACTGATACACACATTATAATTTCTGTGCAGCAGTATGAATTAACATTCCAAGTAAACACAGCAGCTTTACAAACCCAGAACTAATCAAGATATTAGAAAAATCCACTTCCTTAAGTAATGCTTCCCATTCCAGTATTTAGAAATTTTACCTCCCTCCCTCTTCCCTTCCTTCTCTCTTATTCCCCACCACCAGTTCAGCTTACTTATAAACCACAGAAATACATATGTACATAAACATATATTGGCATAGGCAAAAACACAATGACAGTCTACAGAAAAACGCTTCTTCCTGAATATGAATACATTCAATGAACATTACTATTTTGTTAATGATAAATGAGGAAAATACATGTAGAGACTTTGCTGCTGTTTCAGTGCTATTTTCATCCACATTCTGAATTTATTACAAAATAAACTAGAAGAAAGTAAAACATGAATGAATCAATAGTTGATAATTTTCCATTTTCTACTCAACATATTTAAAATCCCAGTAATGTACTAATAGCTTCTGTATGTTTAACAGCTGGAAAAAAACTTGCAAAATACAAGTTCTCAGCATGCACACTGCATGATTTGTGTACACATTCCACTTGCAAGTACTGCTGTTAAGTATTATGCACACTGGTATTTTTAGAGGCATGAGCAGGACAATAAAAAAATTATTCTGTTGATTTTATGGAGAAATAAGCACTGAAATTTGCTACTTTATCACTTACCAGATACTAAAAAAGTACAGCAAAATGGCCAAACCAAAATAGTGAGTGCAGGAATAGTCTGAAAAGATTATTCTCTTTCACTTAAGAAAATATATAAACATAATCAAGAAATTATTGGCAATATAATTTTAACAAAATAAGTTCAAGAACTATATATATTTTGTTATAACTTCAGGTTATAGCTAAAATGCTTCATTTCTGGGTTTGCTTCCCTCCCCGCCCTCCACAAGGAAAAAAGAACTTGCTTCAACTTTATCATATCTCACTACAACTTTTAATAATTACACATCATTTTTCTAACTTCCTCTTATTTCTGAAGTCAGAAGAAAATGCATTTAATGAAATACTTTTATACTTAGAAACTGAGCAACCACAAATCAATGAAAAGACTTATTTCAAACCCCCAATTGTTTGGAGACAAATTTCTACCAGCAACTATTCTTTTTTAATTATTTCTTTGCATTTTCCATGCAGTGTGCTGCAACTGGCATCTAAATAGTTTCTTTGCCGTCGTGAAGTGAAACATCTTGAATGCTCAAACTGTATTTTTATGAGTGCCAAGGGACCCTAAATTTTAGTGGTCTATTAAATGCCAGCAATTTCATGCTGCCTTGCATAAAACAGCATTCACATATTAGAGCACTGCGATTCCATAGCTGCATTATGCTTCTCTCACACAACTCAAATACAAGTTGTGTATTTCATTTAAAAAAATATATATATTTCTTTCAAAACACATGTACTTTCTCAATGAATATATTTAAAGTTCCATTTCATTGTTGTATGTTACACTATCCACATGGACAGTGAGTACACTCAAGTAGAGATAATAAAAATCACGAATATAGATAGCATTCCTTTTATTTGAATTCAGTGCTTTACTTAAAGATGTAAGTTGCAAATGCATAACCCTTTGTCACCTGGCAAGAACGTACTAACAAAATTTTCTCTGAATAACCTAATTTGCCATAAAAAGCACTGTACTAAGCTTATTTAGCATACATTACTTTGGGGAATCTGTTTCTGCAAATCTTACTGCTGCCCAACCTTTCAGTGTTAGTTTTTATTCTCTTACCTGGCAATATTATCCTTTTCAAGAAGAAGTCCAGTCCTATGGTTTGTTTGTACTGTTTTCCAAATATTTCTTGGGCGAAACGTGTGGCTAAGGATGTCTAAAACAGAACAATATCAAATTAAGTTGTCATTTCAAACAGCAAAAAACTTGGTGTTAAACCAGAAGTATGAAATACAGTTAAGCACTTTTTAAATCAACACCAACTGACCAACTGACAGTGTTCATGGATTTGGATTGACAAGCATACCAGACAACTTCAACATAATAAAAGGAGGTGGCAAAGACTACTAATTTATGCAAAAAGAAGGAAGGCACATACTTCCTTTGTATTTCAAAGATACTACGATATTCACATTACAAAATATTACACAGATTTGAATGAGGTATCATTAGTACACTCAAATTGACACAAATCTAAGTGATACTATCCATACCTGAAGAACTTATTATTTTTAAAAAGCATGCATTTCCAAAACTAGGGTCTTTCCCTGGTACAGAACACCATGATCCCAGGCCAACTTTCTGGGAGGGAACAGAGATCTGCACAGTGCAGAGTCCCACAGGGGCTCCAAATTGTGGCAAGATTCCTGCCACTGTATATCAAAGTTTCAGGATCAGGGATTACATGGAGTCTAAGATATGAAGAGTACTTTCTTGTACACAGAAAAAACTAAACTCATGTTAAGAGTGCACATTTGCAGAATCATTCCTTTAAGCAGAACTCTGGAAACTTATTTCTTCAATTTATATTTTGTGGATTTATGAAAGTAGACCAATACACTGTTGACCTAATAATCAGCTTTTACTACATACTGCTAAAAGGATACACAATTAACCTACATAAAGTAATGAAGCAAGGCATTTATATTCTTTCACTAGCAATTTAAGTTCTCCATGCAAGGCAAAAAAAAAAAAAAAAAGGGAAAAGGGAAAGAAAGAAAAAAAAAAAAAGAGAGAAAAAGCTCCACAATCTAAGGTTTAAAAAAAAAAAAAAAAAGGAAAGGAGGGGGGCAATTATAAAGAATACAAGAGTTTATATTGTGGAAAAAATTAAATACTGTATTAAAAATTAATGTCACATAGATAAATTACATCCTACATCAAATTAGTGGTGTACACTTACAAATCTCTTGTTGAAATGACATCTGAAAATACGAAAACAAAGTAATTGCAGAAAAAAAATTCTAAATATGCATTTACATATATAGGGGAAGAAAAGCCTAACAACCTCACAAAACCCTTACACTGTCTGAGAAAATTCAAAATGGGCAAGAAGGAATTTTTGTTGCCAGCTTTCTGCTCATCAAGACCCAGAGAGGTGAGTCATATCAACTGTTATTAGAAATTGCCATTGGAGCGCATTTAGTTAAAAATGCAATAGCAAAATAGTGCCAATAGCTCTGAAAAAATGAGAATAGACTAGTTCTATTAATGGAACAGTTATAACAAAAATCTAAATTATGCTAATAATGTCAAATGTACATAGGAAGAAAAGGTAACTTACTCTTTTTTTGCATGAAAACATGATCACCAGAGCTCTAGCATTAAAGCTCTAGTATGAATATAAAAACATTTATTCAACTATTAAATTACCTGTGAAGTAAATAATGCAAGATTTACTGTTTTCTTGTTTCTACATCACATTTATATTCCTACCACTGTCATATATATGTACATATAATAAATGATATTTTGATATCAGAAGATATGTTTAGGAAGTAACCCAAAAAAATCAATTAAAGACTATTGCAACATTTTCATTTACTTCACTGAACTCAAGCCCCAAAAGGATTAAAAATAAATAGATAAATGGGGAAAAAAGCAAGTAAACTATAAACAGCATGGGTATGCTTATATATTTATATCACTGTGGAAAGGGTGAAGACCACAGAAGATGAATCGTGAGAATACTCTTCTGCCTACAGCTATGTGACAGTAATACCAACATATGCACAACATAAAATTCAATACATATTTAGACTGTAGTACCGAAAAAGTCAGTAGAACTGATTCTTTTAATCACAACAGTTAGCATGTCAAGATTACAAAGACATTATCTTTAATCTGTCATGACCTTAAAGATGTAGATAAGAATAAGAACATTGCAGGAATACACCAGACAGTCTTCTCCTTGAAATTTTTCTTTTCAGAAAAGTAACCAGTACCCAGAGTAAGATTAAAATATCATCTGACTATATCATAGTATTCTATATTCTCCAACACACTAATTTAGATCCCCATTAAAAAAGCAACCACTCCCTTCTTGTTTTAAGGGCTCAGTAAATATTAGCTTTATCACTCTGTGACACTCAATATTCCCTGAGGGCTTCTAGGGGTGTTAGTAAAAATAAACAACATACATTCAATTAAAAGCCAACCAATAGGAGCAGCAAGTAATCTACAGCATGGCAAAGTTCTCTTAAACAGTTTTTCCTCTACTGTGCTCTTGAATGCAAAGGAATTTATAGCAGAAAATCATTGACTAACCCCTTTTTAATTTTTTTTTCTAATAACTGTTAAAGCTCAAGGAAGGTGTTGGATTACCAGACTAGAGTCCTCTATTTATTCACAGAACAAGCATTTATCCACAAAAAACTAAGAGCAACAGTTCAAACTTCTCCACAACAGTAAACAAAGAAGTTATGTCAATGAATATTCAAATACCTCTACAATGCAAATACTCCCTTCAATCCTAAAATTGTTCTCTGCCATGCTTGCCATAAAAGATTCTACATGGCAGTTTTGCCTGTAAGGGTATGTTGAGTACAATCTATGTAAAAAATAACCAAAGTTAAATAATGGCTCAGTAGAACTGTAACTGTAAAAATAAATAAGTGATCAGTGACTTTTTAAAAAAAAATTATGCTCCATTCATAAAATTTCAGCCATTAATGTAGAGATTAGAGGATAGCATGATATCAAGAAGGCCTTGTTCCTTCACGTCTCTACTAAGACAACCAGGCCACCAACTTTCATAGCAGACTTTCCATTAGACTCAGTTTGGTAGGTTCACACATTTATCTTAAATACTTCAAAGCAAATGTTCATATGCTGTTCTGAATAGCAATACACTATTGAAGGTTGGCGTTACAAACTCCTTCCTTTCAGACAAAAAAAAGGCTTTGCGTTCTAACATACAGCAATCGAGACAGCAGTAAAAAATAATACAGAAAAATTTCAGTATTCTAAGTGCAAAATACAATGGGATATTTGGGAAGTTCTTTTGGAAACAAACGAAGATGCAATCAAACCTCACAGGCAAGGCAAGACAATTTCTTGCTTCTATTCTTCAATGTCAACAACTCACAGTATAAAAAGCTGCTCCTAAACACCTACATACTGAGTAAATAGGAAAAAAAGCAAACAATATTTATGAAATAAATTGAAAAGTCAATAAATTGAAATAAATTGAAAGTCAAACAGAAAAAGCAATGATAGCCAGCTCTAACTGATACTGACTGCTCACCAGGACAACACAGAAATTAGCAGAGAAAACCCTGACAATGACAATTCTTTGAGTAAAATCCTATAGAAGAAAGCTTTCAGAAAATGATGCCAAAGTGTAGTATCATAGTTGTAAGAAAGAAAAACTAAAAACAAATTTCAATGGGATGCAAGCACATAGTTCTGAAGCCATGAATTTCCATTCATATCCCAACTTTACCAGCCAATTGAGAATCCACTTTCCAAAAAGCAACACATATCTATCCCCTCCCTTACTCCCTTCTAGAACACCAATGCCTTTCTCCAAGCACAGCAATATTTACCCTTCAGTCATGTCCCATCCCTACTGGCAAGAATTTTAAAACAGACAAAATGAAAAGGAATACCAGGCTAAACAACGAGATGCTTTAACTAGCATAAAAACACATAACTGTCCAATACAGAGAATTTCTTATGATGTCTTTCCACCCCCACTCCTAACTACTGATGAAACTTTGTTCACTAAAAAAGAGAAAATTATCAAGATTTTTTGACATTAAACATGGATCTATGAAACTAGGCCAATCTGCAGAGGACACTTGATGTAATTTTCCATTTGCAAGACTGAACAGTGACAACAATGTTTTTGTCGACATTGATGAGGTTTTTGAGCCCACATGTAACAACAAGATCCAGAATTGGCACAATGCTTAAAAATCTGGCATCCTAAAAAATCCTAAAGCAAGCAGACCACCACTCCATATTCCAGCCTACGGTTTAGCTCCTGCACATTCCCACACCGGGTTGAGCATTCGCTCTTTCATGTTCATCATCCATTGCTAAGAGAAGAAGGAAAAGGTAGGATGTTTCTGCTACCATACTTTAATCCCAGCTGCAACAGATGGCAGAAGGACAGAACCTCTGTTTCTTTGCTCCTCCCACACACCTATTTTTCAGGACCTTCCTTCCTATGAATAGCTCCAAGATTTGCTTCCAGAGGCCCAAAGCCATTTTCAACAGTAGCAAATCCGAGTAGTTCCAGCTCAAATCAACATCATTATATATTTCAACATTAAGCCAATCTGTGCACAGCAAGAGTAGAAATACCTGGATTATAACATCATTTTTTTTTTCAATCCATACTAGTACTGCTAGTTTATTTTAATGAAAAATCATTTTGGCTCAGGAAGAGTAGGTTGATTGAAAACCTAGATGCATAAGGCTGCCATGTGTATCCTGTAATCAAAATCAAAGAGCCAACTGCTATTAATAATTGCTGTTTATTTTCATCTCACATTGTCCCCGCTGCTGATTTCTTTTCAGATTGTTTTCCTAGTTTGTCTAGTTCATTAAAATCATTCTCTATTATTATCTTCTTACTAACCAACCTTGCCTTCCTCAATTTTTCTTTTCAACAATTTACCATTTCCATTACCCTAATACTTTTTCAGATTCTACTCTGTCTCACTCCTCTCATTCCTTCTTCCTTTTTCACTCTTCTCTTAGAGCTTGCTCCAGCAGTGCTTATTCCTACCCTTAAACATCTAAGTATCCAATTATCCATTCAACCACCACAAAACAAATGAATAGAAGCACAACATCCCTCCCTTACCTCATGGATAGAGCAACTCCTAGCTAGTGGAAACAAACATTACCCTTAGCTTGAACTGACACTGGTTTGTTTTTAAACTGCTACCAACCCTTCCACAGAACCTTAATCACATTGCTTCTAAACAATGAGTGAGGAAAAAGAGAGCAAGTTTACATCTTCAGCCAGCTGACTCACAAAGACATAATTTATCTTCCGTGGAGAACTGATGACCAGACAGCCCCAGATGGAGGAAATAAAATGTTTGTGGGTTTTTTTTCCTTTTTTTTTTTTTTTGGCAAGAGGGGGAGCAATGGAAAGAAGTCAAATGTGAACATCTCACACTGAACGCAAGACGCAATATTTCAACGATATGTTCCATTATTTCCTACACTACTCCTATCCGACGATCCCAGCGACAGAGGAAGAGAAAAACCAATGTCTTGCACAGTAAATGAGAGGCTAAGTATGCATGTGTGTAAAGACCAGCTGTGAACCAGATGTGAGAGGCAGGCTATTTAGAGTTGAAAACATATAGACATACACGTTTCAACAAGCAAGCGGAACGAGTAGCCAAGAAAGAAGAGGAACCTCAACAATTTAGTCTTCTGAGGTGCTTGAAATAGCACTAGGTACATTTTATCCTTCCATTCCATGACCAATCACTTCTTTATTTTTACAAGATCTTACAATAAATCTATTATTGAAAGTGTTCGCTGCTAGGCCATCAGGATGGCTGGAAGAAGCCTCTATTACAGCATCATCTAGGGGGAACAGGAGGAAAAGCAGCCCACCATAGCATAGCTGCTACTCATGCAAAATAAACGGCACTTGAAGCACAGGATGCCTAGAGCCAGCAGGAGATTCAGTGAGTGGCAGCTCACGTGTGAAAGGCAGGAACCAGCAGGAATACACATCAAAACTCAAGAATGCTTGAAAATCCATGTTTGGTGAGAGGTCTTGCCACAAGGTGCTGAACAGCAGTAGTGAAAGGATTCCTCAGTTTGAATGGAAAACTCCTGGGGCACGCTACCAGTGAAACAGCACTTCAGCTGTCAATCCTGCGCATTTATTATGCTCTCATCACACAGTCACTTGGAATTGCCCATCTACTGACTCAGATGAATACAATACCCCTTCAGACTGGGTTTAGAATCACTGGAGGCGAAAAAATGTTTTGTTTCTCCATAGAGCTCTGCATAAATAAGCAAGCAAAACCATGCATGTACTTTCACTAAGAGCTTATTTCTATTAATAGCAGGCAGCTCATTTAAACCACCTCTAAGAGTATTTTTACCTTTCATATGAACTGTGAGGCAGGCAGCCTTTCTGCCTCCCCACTTTTCAAAAGCTAATGATAGAGAAAAAAACGTATTCTTCAAGTATACAATAAAATTACTATTTTCAGGTGTATCTCACGAAAGGATTCAGGCCACATATGGCAATAGGTATGTTCACACATGTACAGTAAAGATCAGTGACTATTTTAATCGGGTAAGAAAGTGGTCTCCCTTTTGCCTTCATTGGTTTCTCCGTCAAGATTTCTCTTTTAAAAAGAAAACAAGTACAACTTGTTTGTAAACAAACTTTTACAAATAGTATTTAATTATGTTGATTATAGACAGAAAAAAGCCCTGTAAAAGTCATCACCAAAACCTAAATTGACCCAGAAGTGTCTTTCCAAACTCTGAAACAGCAACTCAAATAGATGCAAACTGTTCTATCCACCTCAGGAGGTTATCAGCTCTGAAGCCGAAATGGAGAGCCTGGAGACCCAGCTGAACCACCTTCCCTGCTCGTCGTTTCGGCGGGAACCGCGAATTCACGTGCTCGGCCCCGACCCCAGCCCCCTCCCGGGCACCGCCAGCCCCCGAGAACAACTTCGGGCTATTCCGGCAACTCCAGCCGAGCAGCTCACGGCCCGGCTCCAGTGCGCGGTCTGCAGCGCACGGCCACCAGTAGGAAACGCCACACCAGGCAGCGCCGTGGCAATTACGTTATTAGCCGCTCCTTTCATTAAGGCTCAAGAAAGGGGGATTAAAGCCGCACACGTCTGTTTGTTGACCAAGCCTCTCGAGGCGCCGCCAGGGTACGGAATCCCCGCTCGAGGGTCTCGCTGCCCAGCACGGAGCGGATACGGGCGGCCCCGGAGCCAGGCTCCCGGGCGAAGAGCCCGCCTCTGCCTGCCGGCCGGCCGGGGAGCACCAGGGTCCCGTCCCGGCTCTCCGCTACGCCCACCCCCCTGCCCCACACACGCCGGGGAGACAACGCAGGAGGAGAAGCGCGGGGCCGAGAGTGAAGGGGGAGGGGTCAGCCGGCCCCACGCCGCCGGGTATCGCGACGGCGGCAGCGCGATAGACTGGAAGCCGCCGTGGGCTGCTCCCTCCTCAGCGGGAGGGCCGCGGGGAGCGACGAGGGGGAAGGCCGGGCAGGGGTCTGGGGGCACCGCGGCGACGGAGAGGAGCGGGGCGCTGCCGGCGGGGGCCGGCACTGACCTTGCCAGTGGTGCCGTCCCCCAGCACCACTAGCTTGAGCTGGCGGTCCGGACTCTCCTCCTCCTCCGAGTCCGACATGGTCCCTACGCCCCCGGCGGGGAAGGAGAAGAGGCGGAGGGCAGCCGGGAGGGACGGGGTGCAGGAGCGAGGAGGGGAAGCGGGAAAGGAACGAGCGCCGCGCTCACGGAGCCGGCAGCGCTGCAGAGGCCGGAGCCGCCATCTTCCCTCAGCGCGCCCGCCGTCGCTATGGCCCGCACGGGACGAGACCAACAGGGGTGAGGAGGGAAGGGGGAGAGCGTCGCTCGCGGGCGGGAGCTACAGCAACAAGTCCACCGGCCGCTGCGGGCGCGAGCCGGGGCCACCCGCGACGCCCCCACTTCCGTCCCCGGTCGTCCCCCCTCCCCGCTCAGCGGCCGGACGAATGGTTCAACCCGACTCTCCGCTACGCGCAGCGGTGGTTTAGCCCCGAAGTGACGCTCCGCGCGGTAACTAAGGAACGTGGGGGTCAGAGGCCGCGGGGTGGGCGGGGCATGGGGCGGGGCTAACGGCTCCAACGGCCGCGCGGGCGGAGGGCCGCTCCGCCATCCCCAGGCGGCGGCCGGTGGCTGCGGGGCCCTCCCGCCCCTCCGGAGGGTGCTGGCGGCCGGCCGGCCCCCAGGGCAGGGCAGGCGACTGGAAGGCTTGCAGAGGGAAAATAAAAACCGGGTAATTCCCCGGGAGATGTCCTTGGAGAGCAGAAAACCGGTCGGCTGCGGTGCTTCCTAGCAGGGGTGATCCGCTTCAGCGGAGGGGCCGCGCTTGCGTTCCCGCTACATCCACCTCCACGGCCGAGTCCCTGTCTTGGCTGGGCTTCTGCGCAGCGACAGGACGTATTCATATTTTGCAAGGAGTGCGCTAACACAGAAGGCAAATGCGATAGCAAGCACTGCGCTGAGTCCTGCCTTATTTCCCCACCTTTCAGCTCAGCCGTTGTTGGCAGCTCTTTGCCTAACTTCTCCTAAAGCCACCTGATCGGGAAACCACCGTTTTCTTATGTTTTTTGTCCATATAGGCAATTAGCAAGAAAACTTGTTGACGCCACCCTAACTGAATTTTAAACCACTATTTTATTATGCACATTGACCATGGCGAACAGTTTATAACCTCCTCTTTCGCAGCAGTCTTTCACGTATTTGAAAACCGTTAGCGTGTCTTCAGTCCGTCTTCTTTTCCGTAGACTAAACAACTCCTCTTCGTTCAGTCTTTCCCTGGGTTGTCTTTTCCAGACTTCTGATTATTCTTGTTGCTTTCCTTTGGCCTCTCTCCACTTTCTTGAAGTGGTATGCCAAAACTGGATACAGTACTTCGGTTGAAGCCTTCTGAGTACTCAGTGGAGTGGAAGTATTACTTCATGTGTCTTACATACGAGACTCCTGTTTATATATCCCAGTATGATGTTTGCTTTCTTCACGGTATGACATTGCTGACTCATACTGTTTCTGATTTACTAAAAAGCCTCTGAATCCCCTCCTGTTATCAGAATTTCATACACTTTGAGGTTTTATTCCTGTTTAACTGTAGTGCTTTCTGCTTGTCCCCATTGAATTTCATCCTATGTTTCAGGCTACTTGCACAATTTGTCAATATAATTTTATTTATAATCTTGTCCTCCAGAATGCATGCTATCCCTTCCAACTTGATTATATCTGCAACTTTAAGAATCGTATGCTCTATTCCAAACTCATTAATAAAGATATCCAACAGTACCAGATCTCTGCAAGCCCCTATTTGACATACCCTTCCAACGTGATGAGTGATAACAATTCTTTGGGCATAGTTTACACAACAGTTTGAACAAAAGAGACAGCTAAAACTGTTTATAGGTGTTCTTTAATGGATTCAATATCAAGCTAAGATTTTTTAGAACAACTTTGTGTAATGCCTGAATAGAAATCATTCCTGTTTCAGTCTCTTTCAGGTTTTCTTTTTCAAATGTTTCTCAGAAATTTCCAGCATTACAAGTACACTGTTTTACTCAGTCCTCAGCAGGATCAAGAAGATTCCTTATTACTCATGTATTCAAGTGTTTGCAGACTTGAGGCCAAATGCTTTCCCAATGACATTCTGAAAAAAGGGGGAAAAAAAAGCAGAAAAGACCTTAATTTCTAATGGAAAACCAGACACACATCTTTGTCACTTTCTTCATACTTCAAAACAAATTAAATGTGTTACTCATCCACTATTTTCCACTTCAAATCATCCTTTAGCCTAATTATACTGCAAGTTCTCTTAACTAGGAACTTCAGCAAGATCAGCATAAGGGCTCAGCTGAAAAGCATTTCTTGGAAGGAGGAGCAACAGAGACAAACATGGAATTTTCCTTTATGATTTCTGACATACTGAATGGTTGTACAATTGGCATTGGACATTTAAAAGCTCCACATCTCACATCAGGGCAGACACGTGATTGATAAACCGCTGTTGATGGAACCGTTCATATTCATGCCAATTCTGCATCAATCACATTAAGAAAGAACATAAAAGATTAATTCAAAACTTCCCAGGGCTTTTGGGGAGAAGCAGGGTTCTATTCAACCCCAAGATGAAAATTAGGGGGGTTCAGGCTGTATGTGCAAAAGCAGGATGATCAGAGAGGAAGGTGCTCCAGGTCTCCAGGCTACATGTATTCTCATTTGAAATACGACAAAGAAATGTGTGTGTTAAAACACACATCCCCAAACTTAATTTTCTTCTTAATTATATTTTTTCTCCACAAATCACTTGAGCTTATTAAAAGTTAGGGTCATCATCTAAATGAGTGAACAACATAGAAAGAACTGTTTCATCTCAAATATGGCATTCATGGGCTTAAACTTGACTTGATGCTGTGTATCTGATCTATTTAAATAAGCATATTAAGGCATAATTTTGGAAATACGAAGAATACTTGATATGGATAAGCATGCATGTTTGCTGTTGACTACCAAGAAAGGTGAATTGAAACTACCACAGGAGACAGCATAGTAACATAATCAGACAACTCAGCCCCCAACAGCCTCCTTGCAGTTGTTAAGTGTATGGATGATGGGGATGTACTAAAATACTTTTTTACTATATAAAAAATCAGTGTACAAGATTAAAGCGGCCTGGTGAAGTTAATGCTTTAATTAACAATAAAACTACAAAAGAGTGGTGTTTACCATTATTTCACTTTATACTAGCATAACGGAGCAAACAATCAGACTACAAATCTTTATACATCTTATTTGTCAATGTTCAGCAAGCACATTAACAGTGTGCTGTGGTTATTTTATGTGGAGTGGTATGGATCTTTGGTACCAGCACATCCCCTCTAGGGAGGTTTCCAAATTGAAATGTTTTTGTCATTGTAATCTTAACTAATTTGTTATTTGCTAAACGTGAACAATGTTTTACAGATGAAAGGAAACTACTCTTGGACTGCTTAATACTTTACAGGTAAAGGAAATATATGAAGCATGTTGAAAAGCACTGGAATTAACAAACAGAACACACTGCAGTCAGATTTTTTTTTTATTGATGGCAGTATGCAAATAATTTGAAACTCTTCTTCTGCATTTTTAGAATACTAAGAAAAAAATCCTGGATCAATGCCTTTGAAAAGAGCTTTCACTGAAAAATACCTGGGTCACCCAGTTATACAGGAAATAAATATATATTGTTTAGTGGACATTCAGTCAGTATTTTGATATTGCTCTTTTGGTTTTCATACTTTCTATATACTTTAAATTATTTCTTTATGAAGAAATTTCACTGGTAATCCACTGGTAATGGAGAATATTGTCAATGGTAAATGAGATGGCAACAATTTAAAAATTCCCGTATTTCATTTAGGCTCCAAACAAGAAAGTAATTGTGTCCCCATTCTCTGTCAAGTTTTGGCCTATTACTTGGCTCGAGCATTTTCTACTGAATTAAATCAACTTCTTAATATGTGAAACCAAATGGTATAGACAGTTTCCTATCTCTATACTTCAGAAAAAGGGAGGGAAGAGCTATATGACATCATTTCAACTCCCTAAACCAACAGTTCTTGATCAGTGGAGCTTTCAGTGTTTGAAAACACCTTGCAGAAGTCTATGGAAGGTTGCTGACAAAAGCAAACCTAGAAGGCTTAGGTTTAGCCTACGTAGATCTTCACTTTCAGTTGAGGACTTTTAAAAGTCTGTAAGACCAATTGTTGCTGCTGCTATATGCCGCTACTAAATCTTCCACCTTTATCAGCTGGGCAGTGAGTTTATTAAATGTTTTTGTTTGATTTGGTTCTTCAGATTATCACTGAAGTTGTTCCAGTTCAGTTTTGGCTGAAAAGGCTCAAGTATTTGAAGGCTTGGCAGCTCTCCCTAAGTGGGATCACTACAACTGCTGAATGAGTTTTGGGGGGACAAAGGTAATGGAGAGCGTCAGGAGGAGCCAGAGAGTTTTAGGAGAGGAGGCGGGCAGTGGTGGAGGAGTCAGAGGTTTTATGTAGGTGGGGAAGCGGGGCTGGAAGGGTTGAGTGGGTGTTGTAGGAAGCTGGTGCTGGGAAAGATCTATGGGAACTTCTGAGGGTCAGAGAGAAGTGGGGGAGTCTCTCATTCGCTCTCCGCAGTCCACCCCTCCTGTGCAACATCTTCCTCCCACATGGGAGCCAGAGCCACATACCCAGCTCACTCCTCATCTGGGTCAAAAGGAACTTCCCTTCCTGGCACCTGCTTATTTCTGTGCCTCCCTTGGATGCCACCAGTTCCCTCCTTCACATCTTCCCCTACGCCCTCCCAGTCACATTTTTCAGTGCAAGCCATTGCTTTTCATTTCTGCTCCTGTTTTGAGCTGGCAATCAGAAATACCCTTTTTTTTCCCCACCATTTTGTTCCAGTTTAATTAGAAAACAACTGTTGGTAGTCAGTTTCAGTTTGAAGAAGAAGTAGCACAGTTCCAGTCTTGGTTCTTTTGCCCCCTTGTTCTTAGGCTACCCTGACTAAATAATTGTGGCATACACAGTCTACTATGTTTGCAAATGCAAATTGTACAAATGCAAACTAGGCCTTTGTGAATATGTGAATTTTTTAGACTATAGTATAAGGTTGCCTTTCCTACATGCAAGTATCTACAGAAGAGCCAAAAATCACTACCACTATGATCTACCCACTACCTATCACTACCTATGACTATATGAAATAGTCATATGCTTCTCCCAAGCTCCAAGAAAAGGTGCAAATCAAGCTGAAGGACGTGAAATTCTGGGCTGACAGAAAAAGGAACAGCATGTGTGAGAGCCTGCAACCTTTTTGCCATCCTCATCAGGAATGCAGGGTCATTTAGCTAGCGAGTCATCTGTGCTGTCGTCTTCAGTGCTTGATGGAAACAACACATTTCTCAGAGTGAT